ATTGATCTACAAAAGGCTCATATGATGCAGAATGTTTCTCTCCATTAGAACCTACAAGAATATCTCAGACATCAAAGGCTTTTTCTTTCGATAAATGGCAAATATAGCCCCACTTGGGTTGTATTATATTTAAAAATCCGTTTTTAGATTATTATGAGCTTAGGATTTTTTTTTCGAATATTCTTTTTCTATGGCTATAATGTGGTCTGGACTTTTTTGGTACTATTTTTAACTTTAAATTCGATATTTAGTATAGAATTCTTGCCCTAACCAAGATATGCGATTGTTAAGTCACAACTTTTTCGAAAAATATTTGATGATTTTCAGGTAGAGATAATCCTATTTGACTTCAAAAGAGGCATATTTCAAAGCAACGCCCAAAACTCAATTGATAAGTGTATTTAAATAGCTTGTGCGGCTTCTGGTCCCGCTTGATGTTCACCCATGGACTCCTTCAATCAATAAAGAGAAATGGATTTTATAAAGGCCCTATCAGAAAACCGAGTTTTAATGGAAAAATTTTGTTGGATAAGTATATGGACATGTTACCTGGAGTGTCGAATATGACAAATGATAAAAGAGAATTTTAATTTAGGAAAATTTTCGGGAGTTTTATGAGTAACCTTTGGAATCCTTTGGACAAGTAATGATGTCTCTAGTAGTCAGTATATTTTTTTTCTTCCATTTAGATTGTGGTAACCAAATGCTTTTATAAAGGTGTTATAGATCTCGCGCAGCTTGAAGATATACTCTTGATATTCTCCGTAATTTAGCAATGTTGATGCAAATAAGAGTGCGACTAATGAGAAAATTCTAAACACCTGATGGCATATGGGAGCTCAGGATGCCAATTTAAAACATGTTCTTTATTTAAATTAAATGGAAGTAATTTATATCTGAAGGTAGTCGAATATTAGTCGAAAAAGTATAAAGCTAACAATCATACACCTTGATTTGAGCCAAAGTCCTTAACTAGATATTTAATTCTAAGTAGAAAATTACATCAATAAAGCTGCAGATTGAATGGTATATTTCGTAAAAATATGGAGCTGACATAATCATAGAAAGTTTAACTTCATAATAATCCAAAAATACTTTATTAGGCATAAGAGAATCCGACTGGGGGAGGGAGGTATTTGACATTTATCGATAGACAAAGCATCAAATGTTTAGGATATTGTAGTAAATTGTGATGGTAAAAAACATTCTGCTTAATCCGAACGTATTGTCAACAAATCTAGTTCTGCTTTTAATAATCTATGTAGCAGAGACCCAAGCAGTCCAGTTTTCACAGACTTTGACTGCTCTAGAGAGCGTATGAATCTCTTCCGGTTGCCTGTCCCTGCTGTTTGCTTTCATCGATCTGGCCTGGCTATGTGTTAAGGTATTTCCACTGTATTTTTCATGTGAATATTAGGAGAAGTCTTCAATAGAAGTAGAGAACAGAAATAAGGTCAGTTCAGGCTTTTCGAAACTTGAACCTAACTGGACCAAATTTTTTTTAAAAACAACTGAACTGAACTGGTTCCATCTCTAGTAGAAAGCTATCTTTATCAGAGAAAGAAATGACTGATATCAAAATATCATGATTAATCAGAAAATCTAATGATTTACTCTACTATGTGGCTGCTGACTAGAGCCAACCAATATTAACATATGAGAGAAACTCTATTTTTTGGACGATAATCTATGGAATTCATTTAATCAACGTTCTCAAGAGGATCTATCAAGTACTGGATTCAGCCATATTACAACTGTATAAATATAAATCAGTAACATAAAACTTCTTCAACGCTTTCTATAAAAATCTTTATTCACAATGAAAGCAAATCTGCGAAGAGTAATGTCCCAATGTGAATAAATTTAATACATAAAATAGGCTAGATGCAACGCAGCGACAATCCATCAACAGTCAAAATTGTATGTGAAGGCTTTTAATTAAAAAACCTATTTCTCATCTTCCCTAGGAAATATTTTCTAAATTACAGTGTGATGCATTCGCTTTCTGGTAAAGGACGGACTTTCTGAGTAAAAACTTCATGAAAATATGGCAGTTGGGCAAGTGTAGTGACCTATCAGGGTCCCTGATTTTAGGTGAAAATTTGCTTTTTTAGAATTTCCAGACAGTACTTTAGATTTTTCTGACTATATTTAGCACTTTAAAAAGATGCAATATTTCTGGTCAGTGCACCTAGCTTCATCAGACTACATAGATTTCTAATAGAACAACCCTAAAAAATTTACTCGCCTGAAGTAGAGCCCAGGTGCTAAAAAACTCACTTGTGATAAATGAAAAAGACTATCAAAAGCAATAATAGGTTAATGATAACTCTCCTTCTCCTATGATTAGGCGAAGTTTTTTAGAACGCTAGGTCTCTTATATGATATAGCTCCTTTGTATTTCAAATGTATATCAACAGAAAAGCCGTTTCTTAATTGGAAAATCTGTAGATAGTGGATGTTGCGAGGGATAAACGGTATTTCGTTTGAATTACAAATAAAACGCTATAAAATGCAATGTTTTCTTAATCAAAACTAGCAGCTGATATTTTATTTCAAATCAAAAAAATCGAAAAATCAGAAAAATCAAAAAGATCTGATTTTAGCTGTTTCCCCCTTGGTACGTGCTCATTATCAGAAGGCTAATTCCATAGAAGTCAAAGATGACTCAATTACATGAGATTAAAGTATATAATAAGAAACTATTAATTTGAAAAATGTACCCATCATTGAAAATTTTATCTTCTATATTCGACAGTATTACTTCGAAACAATGAAGGGACTCTTGAGACTTATATTTCCCAGAATTTTTTTATAGCTTGTATTTAATCGTTCAGTATTTTATTATGAATGTTCAGTAAATTTTTTATCAGATGTTCAGTAGTTCTTGTTCATTAAAAGAATAATTTTTGTTCAATAAATAATTCATGAAGCTCTGTAAAAAATTCAAGCATTTCAGTAATTAATTTAAAAGTGTTTAGTAATTCGTTTAAAAATGTTCAGTATTTAATCTATTTTTGTTCGGTTTTTTATTATTTTATTTCAGTAAAGAGTGTATGTGAGTGTAGGTGTGGATATTAGTCTGTTCTGATCAGTGACATCGAGATCAATGGCGACACTCACACTCTTTAGTTTCACTTGTATCCATCTTGTCGTCAGAAACATAAGTTGGAACTTCAACAATTTCTAAGGCCATTCCCATTTTAAGATCAAATTAGCAATAGCAATTATGGTTAATCAAAATTCAATTTCTTTAGAAGAGACGAGCTATTTATATAGGATTAGACAAATGAGCGAACACGGGGATAATATCGAGAATCTTCTTCATCTTTGTTACATTGAGAACAAAGAGAGAATACAATGTATTCATCTTTATATATAACTGTAAAAGATCGAACACCTATACTAGAATAGAAAAAGTAGGTTAAAAAAACATAGGATCGATAAGCGATACAATTTATGTATACAATTATCGAGGGTTACAATATAACATAGTATGTTGACTTATGACGTCGTCATCATTCAATACGGACAATTGCGTGTCTGTTTAAATCAAAATATTTTCATGGAAAAGAAAATAAGTGATTACTGATAATAATACTAATTTTTACTGAGTAAATGAATTTTTTAATCATTGAATTTTGTACTGATCGTTTGATTTCTTTACAACATTTGAATATAATACTGAACAAATTTTATTGAACATTTAATTTGTCGCTATTTTTTATTCATGAAGGATTTATTAATTATCATGATTATTTTAGCATAACTACACTTAGAAATCATGCTCATTTTCATATACACACTCGTTACTAGACAGAGATGAGTATATCGTTCTGGTCCTCTGACTTTCGAAATGTGTGAACTGTTTACGATGTACTGTGAGTTTGTATTCGAAGACAAGCTCTCCAGGTCAATGTTTCGAATATTACTTATTAGGATATCGATTCTTAGACACACACATTACAATGAGCTAATTGATGTTCAACAATATGATAAAATTTTTTCATTATTCTAGCTTGTTGTAATAAAACATCACTTTATTGGGCCCACATATGGATTAGTAGAAAATCTTCTAGCTTTTATATTCTCGGCGGTTCTCATAGATTTTGATCAGACATTCATTATAGATTCATATTCTAGATATAACCTAATCGATATTTCAATAGACTACTCGATCAGTGCTGGTGATTAAAATATTGCAGTGTCAGTAACCAAGAGTCAATTAGTCACTGCCGTACTTATACTGGTGTTGTCTGTAATTTATATTGGTATTTATATCTACACATTTATGAAGGCATTCCGAAGTGGAAAAGCCAAATGTAAGGCTATCTGTTGTTGTCGTAGCTCTTCTGAGGTATGTTCAAATTCTCAAAAAAAAAACTTCCAAAAATTACAAAATTTCCTACATAACATGTCAAAACAAACATGTTCACTTATAACAAATACCTAGAAATTCCCATATTAACGATAATAATGAGAAAGAAATTTCTTCATAATTTCTATAACTACCGGTTCAATGAAATGAGTTTAGCAAATAATTCCAATAAATATCAATTACACAAAAGCAAATTCATTAGTAACTACAGAAAATACGAGCATGTAACGATCAAACTAATAATTAACTTTCGAAAATAATTAGCTCTTACTAATAAGTTTCTAAAAAATTTCAGTAACTGTTTAAAAAAACTTCTACAATATTTTTCTGCATATTGAATGGATCCCAGAGGGTACGTATAGATTTAATGAGCTCTATTTCTCAAAACTAGACGAATTTAGAAGATTTTGCAATCATGAAAGTTTCTATATTTTCTTTGATTTATATCTCATAGAAACGAAAAGCTGAATATAGCTTTAATAAACTCTACTGTCTAAAAGCTAGAAAAACTTTTGGTAATTTTCGTAATTAGTAGAGCGTATATAAATATTTATCTGATTAGTTTACTGTTAAATATGGTGAATAAGTAGTATTAATATTATTACTTTTGTTTTATAAGCAGACGGAGATAGACGTCCATGGACCAGGTGTTCAATCAGATGGTGTTATGACCAATAAACGAACTTGGTTCCAAGTTGATGTTAAAAGTTTGTTGAAGAATTTATTTTCTTCTTTGAGTTTAATTTAATAAATATCATAGATGCTGGTAATCGTCCTGTTCAAGCTAGTATTACTGATCCACAGGGTCAACAGAACACAGTATCTGTATCAATTGAACGAAAAGCTCCAGGAGAATTTTTTTGTGAGTATGACCCACGCGAACCTGGTCCTCATCGGATTAATGTTAATTTTGATGGCCAACCTGCACCAAATAGTCCATATCCTGTAAATGTTAAATCATGTATGTACTTAAAAAAGTTATTGACGCAGTCCGTTAGGGATTGAAATATAGAACTCATGTGTGCTATGCTCTCAAAACTATAACACATAGCTACTGAACATCTTCCGAAATGTCGAAAGTTAGAGATAGATCGGTGATTGCGCAGAAATTTTTGATATTAAAAACTTTTTTTTTTATTCACATTTTCAAAGTTTATGAAAACATCTTAAAATTTTCTAGCAAAACGACTTGAATCTTCAAATGCGGAGGAAGGAAAAGAGAATCGTTCTTCTACTAACTCAATCTAAGATTTGTTGTCAAAAACCTGTAATAGGTAAAGAAGTGTAGAGCCACAAAGCCTCGACTTAAAACCTATAGTCATTATTTTCTTCGAAAATATATATGAGTTCTACAAAAGATGATTTTATTGCACAAAAGTTTACTTAAAATTCTAATGATTTCAGTTTCTTTATGAATTTGATATTAGAGATAGTTGAACAACAAATGAGGAAAATTATAATTCATTATTTGAATTCAAAAACAAGATGAGTTATAAATCAAGAACTATCAATTCTATGAAATTGTACTAATTATCGATATGATTCTTTTTTTAAAGAAGGGAAGGAAACTTTTATCATTCCTTTTATTTTAATTAGTGACAGATAAAAAAAAAACATGTAATGTAATCATTAAAAAAATTGTAATAGAATTACGTTTTTATATGTAACTACTTTTTAATAATGATGAAATTTTATAATTACTTCAGCTATTTATTATGACATCATAAATATTTTATAATTATGATTATCAGGAATTGTATACAGTCGAACGATTTGAAAATTCAAGTTCTTGAAGATTGTCATTTATTAACGATACAATTTCGGGAATAAAATTGTCATTGATCGATTTTCAAAGAGTCAACACTGATTACTATTTATAGTTATATTTAATGCAGTTAGTAGTGCATTTGTCCTTGTCTCCGAATGATGAATACCATTAAATTCTCTCTCTCTCTCTCTTGTTTTTAGTCTAGTTACATTGCAAAGATCTAATTAGTTTATTATTTTTGAAGATTTTATTGATATTTTTTTATTATTATTAAGCTTTAGCATCTGATCCTACAAGAGCATCTGATCGTACAAAATTTGATGTCTTTGGACGCGGTATAGAACCAAGAGGTGTTCATATAGATGACATAGCTGATTTTTATGTTATTACTGGATCTGCTGGTGAGGGTATTATGAAACCAACAGTTACTGAGCCAGGTAGAATTGATTATTTTACCTATTTTATTTTTAAATAAATAAATATTACTTAAGATGGTTCGCAGATTCCTTGCCGAGTAAGGAAACTTAATAAAACAACTTATGAATGTGATTATGTACCGACTCATGCTACACTTCATACAGTTAACATAACATATGATGGTACACCTGTTCCACGAAGCCCATTTCTAGTTGAGGTTGGACCAAAAAAAGATTCACGTATTCGTACATTTGGTCCAGGACTTGAGGGTGGTGTTGTCGGTTATCCAGCTGTTTTTGTTATTGAAACACATGGTGAAACTGGTTTATTAGGTATTTTATGTAATTTTCTTATTTTTTTCTTATTTTGATCTCTTTGCTTCTTGATTAATTTTACAATTTTATTAACTTATTTTCATTCGGGGAGATACAGGTATGTTTACATCCATATTTATTTTTTTCTTTTTATATTCCGTTTATTGAAAGCATCAAATTTATTCTATTACTGATTTTTATTTGCTATATACTTCAAAAAATAGTAATAAATATTTGTTGGTTTTCAAAGACGTAGTAATCAAAGGACCATCAAAAGTACGTGTTGAACGTAAGGATAATGGCGATGGTTCGATTAATGTAACTTATTGGCCAACGGCATTCGGAAAATATGCAGTACATGTTCTTGATAATGGTAAAGATATTCCATTATCACCATTTATGGTTCAGATTGTAGCACGAACAATGTTCGCTCCAAATAAGGTAAATAAAATATTCTATTCTGTTTATTCGATTTCATAAGAACAAACAAAAAAATCTCTAGGTTATAGCTTATGGTGCAGGAATTGAGCGTACTGGACAAATTGTTCATCAACTAAATAAATTCACTATTGATACACATCTTGCTGGTGAGGCACCATTACATGTTTCAGCTATAGATCAAGAACGTCAATCAGTTAACGTGCAAGTTTCTTATAATGGTGATGGAACATATACTTGCCAATATACTCCACAAACTCTTTTGTATCACTGGATTTTTATAAATTTTGGAAGTGTCGCCATACCAAACAGTCCATTTCAAGTAAATTTCTGTTTTTACTTTTATAAAATTAGAAAAAATGAATAATTATTCAATTTAGATTTGGCCAATAGATCCATCAAAAGTTCATGTTTATGGACCTGGTGTCGAACGTGATGTTAAAATAAATAATCTAACACACTTTTTTGTAGACTACAAAGAAGCTGGTCCAGGTAAAAACCAAAGAATTTTTATGAAATACGATCTAAGAGAAGGATTGAACTATAGAGAGATAGAATTCAGAACAATCTTCCCTTCACACTTGATTATCATTACAAAGGATACTTATATCAATAGCCTTTCGTCACTAATGACTTCTTGTATTCTTGGAAAATTAAATTAATGCATTCTAGAATAGATAGAATCAAAAAGTTTCACTTTGATTAACAAGAGCAATTAAATCATATGGCAAATTTTAATCCTACAGATATTGTATTAACAGCTGTTGTACATTTTAAAAAAATGTTAATTTTCAGGCAACATATTAGTCGTTATAAAAGATGCATACAGACAAGATGTATCATACAATATTGTTTGTGATCAAGATAGAATATTTCGCATTGAATATACACCTGAATTACCGGGTGTACATTTTATAAATGTTTTATTTTGTGATCATGAAATACCAATATCACCAATTCAAGTCGATGTTGAATCAAGAAAACCACTTTGGTCACCTAAACAACCTAAAATACGTGCCTATGGACCTGGTCTATCACGAGGTACAGTTAATGAACCAGCTAATTTCATTATTGATACAAATGATGCTGATAATATTCAATTGGATATAAAAATTGAAGGACCATCAGCATTGACAATTGATTTTCAATATAATGATTATGGTAGACCTCAAGTAACCTATTATCCAAAAGGTAGATCTTTCTTTTGTCATTATTACTTTAAATATTAAATATTGATTATATAAAGTCGCTGGAAATTACAATATTAATATACTGTATGCAGGAAAACATATACCAGGATCACCATTTGCTGCTATAGTTGATCTTAACATACAAGATATTCGTTGTTATGGACCCGGAATTTGTTCCATGGGTATGTATCGTATGGATTTAATAAGAATATATGAC